TTCTAATTTCGCACGATCCCTTACAACAGGGAAGGCTTTTAGTAGGGCAGTCTTGAAATTTTCGTAAGTATAGGTATTCCTAGGTTTCCTAAGTATAGGGGGGACTTCCTGCTTGACCCAAGAGACTTCTGCCTATACATTTGAACCAGTTAAGCGCTTGGCCCCTCAAAGCGCTGGTAGCTAAGGTAACTTTTTGAAACTCGTGCACGGGGTAGAGCATGAAGTGGTCATCCAATTTTTCCAAAAAACTGGTTACCGGTGAGTTTCCCTTAAATGTTGCTTCTGGTTTCATCGAAGCGCGCATGGTCTGGACGATGTAACCAAATCCTTCCAGGGCGGCAGCTGGCATTTCTGGATTCTGAGCCGTTTCTGCAGGCAGCACAGGTTCTTCTTGAAACTCGGCCATGGTTATTCTTCTTCGTTGGGCGCCACTATCAGGGTCAATGTTCCTTCTTACCTTCTTCGGGAACATACAAGGACCTGACTCGGAACAGAGAGCTTACTAAAGCTATGTTCACTAATTGTGGTAAGTAGACAGGATACACAGACGAAGGGTATACAAAACCCTTTATTTTTCTCTATATACAATAACTTCCGTACTTCGGAATACACCGACCCGCTACTCGGGGTCTAAACGTAAAAGTATAAAAATAAAACTAAACTCTAATTTAACTTTAGAATAATAAACGTGGAAGATTGGCCTTATATTAACAGGAAGCGTATGTAGTACAGAGAACTGTGAACACTACAATACGTTTAAAATTTATCAAGAGGATTAAAACCTCTGGCCTGGAAGGCAACAAGCAACTGCGTAACTTCTAAGGTAAGCGGCCTGCTTCGAACTCACTGCTTCCTCTCTCTCGCTTGGCAAAAAGGCCACAACTTAAATACTTGGCGTTCGCCAGACAAACTTTGCATAAAAACCTTAACGCTTATAATTCTGGCCGGAAGTAGAAAATAAGAAGTGATAGTAAAGATTTAAAATAAAAATAAACGTTAGTAAAACTTAAGATCCTTACAACATTACACAAAAAAAAAAGTCTCTTTTGAATCCCTTATATCATCCGTTTTGGAAGGAAATGTCATTTATTCTCTTAGTACTTACACACATCATGTAAAATAAAAATAGTTAAAATGGATTCGGGAACTCTTAAAAGGGATATTTCCGATGACATTTGATGCCCGAAATTTTTCGTGACTGTAATACGTCCTTCACATTATTTATAAAGATGCATGTATTAATAAAGTTTCCATTTTTTTAAAACATTTTTGACAAATAAATAGCATTTTATTTTCTTTTTAATAGGATATCTTTCTTTTTAATATCTTTGTAAAGTTTCTTTGTGTTTTATGCTATATGGTTCATTACTATTGAAATCCAATTTGTTTTCACTTCTCGGATACTTTGGTTTCGCGCAACACTGTGCTCTTCTAAATTATTCAGCTGGAGTGCTTTCATATACTTTTCATAAACATAATATTTCGAAATTTCTTTTTAAACCATTTGGAGATTTTGTCTTCACGAATAAAATATTTGTTTTGGGAGACTAAATATTCATCTTCTATTTCAGTACCTGTGTCATGTTATATAAAATATTCTCATCCAAAAATTCTTCATTTTATTCAACAAAAAACTCATTATTACTCGAAACAGTTTCCAAAAAGATTCCGTTATCTTTGTATAGTATCTTTATAACTAAGATAGCTGGCCACGTTGAGGAAGAAAATAGAAACAACGCGGTAACTCACACGTTACAAACTCGAAGGAATCTTTTCCTAGAAAACTACTTTTATATACACGCAGTTTGCCTGTCTTTTAAAGAATGTGACTTGCAATTCAGCTACCAGAAATTTGAGCTTGGTACGAATAAAAGAAATTGACGTAAACAAAGAAACAAACAACCCGGGTATCTCATTTTCTCTGTGAATCCTCGAGGAGTTTTAGTCATTAAAAATATGGAAATGAGTCGAAATTAATGCTACACGTGACAATAAATTAATAGAATTTTAGAGTTAAGTAGCCTTCCTCTATAAGGTATTTCTCCCGCCTTCGTGCTGTGGTGGTCTGCACGGCGAAGGTGTTGCTAATTTTTCAATCTCTCTTGCCTGCTTCCAAAACTACCTAATGTCTATATACTGGAGTCCGAACTAAAAGGGTGATGGGTGATGATGCTTCCGATACAGGATTTGGCGATTGGATCACCTAAAAGTACCAGTCGCTCTTTAAAAGGGGGAGTATATAAGGTATTTGTCCCGCTTTCTTGGCATGCCTTCATAATGTGGTGGTCTGCACTCTGAGCGCGTATTCCAGAGGTCCGTGGTTCGATTCCCGGCGAAGACGTTGCATATTTTTCATTTGCCTGCTTCGGAAATAACTAATGTCTCTACGCTATTTTCTAATATTGTGAATAATAGTTTTTTCGGAATATCTGCTAATGCGTTTTTGTAAAAGAGGCTAATTAAATAATGATTTTAATGCTGCCCAACCGGGGTAGTGGTTAATGGCTCTAACTGCCGTACCGAGGCCGGGATTCGAGTCCCAGAGAAGGCATGGATATTTGTAAATGTATAGCGTCTGTGCGGCATGGGTGGGTCCGGCATCATTTTATGCGCTGAGCGGAAACTCTTCTCATGGAGTTGGTGGTAGGGGAAGAGAGATAGGAGACCCGTCCCCTTGGGGTTCTTTTCTTTAAAATTGGGGCGGAAGTGAGCAAGGTTGTACTGTCACCATCCCAGAGCTCTTGCGAACGTCAGGCGCAATCTTGCCTCCTTGCCACAACGGATTTCGTGAGCTTGTTCGGATGTCAGACAAATGACAGTAGTTACAACAACAACGATGTCTTTTAATAGCTAACAGCATAAATTCAAATTTCTATTAACTGCTATACGTAGCATTAATTTTTGTTAATTTCCATATTCCATATTTTAAAAGTGTATAATTAGTACTATAATTTTATTGCTTAAAAATAATAAAATATGCATGAAATGGTAAGTGAGTTACTAACTGATCAATTTTCAACTTTCTCAGTTGACGATTTAGATCAAATAGTTTATTGCATCTCAGCAGCAAATAACGTCGAATATTTTTAAAATACATCTTCTTTTCAGGGAAGAGGAAGGTGACACATAATTATTGTCCTTACAGTATATAAGCTTATTCTTATAATTTTCATTTTGGACAAAGTATGATCATGCTATCTAAAGTGTATAAAAAAAAAACCTTCCCATATCAAAGAGGCTTCTATTCTATTTCTATTATACAGCTATTACCACAGATTTTTAAAAGAAATTACTAACACCGGAAACCAAGAAAAATTGGAAGTTCACAAAATATATATTCTGATTTTAATGAGAGTATTACATTGTTTTATCAGCGTAATCTAGTTATGTGGTTGGGTGACAGATATTAACCCCATAACAGACACCAAATGTACGAAAGCTTTTGTTTCTTGGCATCATACCGTCTTTTCCCAGAGAGTTAATTGCTTTTTGAATTAGTGACAGGTGACTTAATTCTTTGTCTGGCTTGTCTTTAAATGTGATTGTAGTAAATCGTTTTAAATTGGATTGCTGTGGTAAGTAAAAGAAAAGAAAATAAGATTTAAAAAAAAAAAAAAAAAAAAAAAAAAAAAAGGTTGAGGCTTTTAAAATTTTTGCTTCATTATTCTATTTTTACCGAACTTGAACTACATATATATAGCTTGATTTAAATGCATATATACATACACACACTCACATGTGTGCGTGTGTATGTATATACGTATTTAAATCAAGCTACTTTTATATTCTTTTCTTGTTAAAAGCGCTTGTTAAATAAAGTTTTTCAAATAAGTTTTAGAATTAATTATATTTTGACCGAGCAATTATAAATATAAAATACTATCGGAATTTTCATTTATAAAATAAGCTTTTAATTCAAAAACGCATAAAGATTTCTAAGATTTAAATAAAACGATCAAGCAAGGAAAAATTTGTCAAATCATGTGACATTCCTTTAAATATACGTATTCTATTTAACGGAAGATATATTCATGTATAAGCAAATTCTTAATTCGGATGAGTAGATGTCTGATAAAACGCAAATCAGGTTTATAAAGAGTTTATTATTAGAATTTTTCATTAACTTTTTCGAGAAAAGTAAGTATTGCTAAAGGTTGAAAATATTTAAGTATTTCTTTCTTCTATAAATAATGTATTTTTTAGTATTTTATTTCATAATGCCTCATTCTCTTTTTATAAAATTTTATTCCGAATTTCAAAACATAACAAGAGTCCACAGTATAAGAAACCAGAATGTTATTCGATATCTATCTGGGTTATTTTTGGGTCTCTCAAAGAGTAAATTAAACAGATATATCTTTGTTTATATTTTTATACCTTGGCATTTCTATATAATTTTTCTCATTAATGTACTCTTATATTGTGATGGTAACGAGAACAGCTTGCCTTTTAGAGATGAGGATTGTTAGTTTAATAGTCATTTATGCCTTCTTTCGTATGAACATAGAAAATATTTCAAGGCGAGCAAAATTCAGACTGTAATTTTAAGCTGTATGCACCTACTCTCTTTAATTAAGGAAACGCAATTCTAAACGCAGCTTTTTTTAAAATATGTTATTTTTATTACCTGCCGTAGAAAATCAACAAATAAACATCAAAGATTTCCAAAAACCATATAGGAAAATTAACGTTGCTTATTGTTCTCAATGATTAGCTTTTACATGTTCATTAAAGGAGCAAATAATAAAAAATCCAATTTATCATTAAAAGTACTGCAATGATGGGAATTCACAGAGTCAGGAAAAGTACGTTCACTTTTAACGGACCGTATCTATGAATCAGTTTCGAAGCTGAATTACCATTTACTGTATGTGTTATGGTGTTTGCTCAACACAAATCGGTACGTGGGTATTGTAATATGTGAAATACGGATTAGGATAGAGGATCAAAAATAGATTAAGGGGACCTTGAAGGACTTCGCGTAGCACAAGAAATCAATCATGCTGGAGGTTCTTAGTCAAGAAATGAGCTCAGTTCATCAATCCCTGCGAACACATTTGACCAACCTTGTTCAAGCAACCACTCGAAATTGTGCTCTGTGTTTGGTCTCCAACGGTCACCATTCTGGCACTTTGTGTACAGATGCAGGTGGAGGAAGATTGTAATTATCCTAACCTGACCTATGAACAAGTATGGCTATATTAACCTTTCGTTAGGTTCAGTACTAATACAAAATCAAAAATTTCCTTTCTTTAAGTGTGCATACATTTTTGGATGGACCCTACATACAAGAAATGCTACAAAATTACGAATGGAATATAATATAAATCATTAGATAATACATCTCAGTTCAAAATTAGTTTCTGATTATCAAAACGGGTAAACAGTATATAAAGAAAGATTTTTGTTTTAAATTTTAGATCTCTAAATTGTTATTCAGTTTATTTCTGTGCAAGAATAAAGCTTTCCCATAACTTATTCCAATGCAAGCTTTTGTGACTTATTCTAAATAGTCATGTTGATATTTTATTTTTATTGCTTTGCCTTGGAGAAAGAAAAGTAAGTGAAAGTTTTACAAACCATAAATCATATAAACACCTTGATTGCATAAATTGCAGCGTAAAACAAACTGTAGAAAACAGAGAAAATGTTTTATCAAGAGTTATATAATAGATTTATAAGGTTTGAATACACAATTTAGTTGCGGGTTGTTCTGAAAGTATTTCAAACAGTTTATCCCAGCTTTTTTTTTACCTTTTTAGTGAAGTGAGTTCTTGAAGAGTCATACCAGATTGAGATTAGGTTTCTTTTTTAGTGCGGCAGAACTTCCATGTTCATCGTTTCGAGCAATTTTTTATCCACAATTAAGATTTTCCGGAAACATTATAATGGTTGAGTTCATTTCAGCTTAACAAAAATGCAATAATTTCTAGATTAGAAGAATGGTGCAAATTTCTGCCGTTTATAACAGTAGTTAGCTAGAAGCAACGAAGCGACATATGATACATTTCCATGGAGCCCAAAAAAAAAAAAAAAAAAAAAAAAAAAAGTGTAATACAGCGAAAAGGTCTTCTTGTAGCTTGGCATCCTTGATTTATTTTATGTTATCCCGTAAATTAGAAGCTTTAACGAGAAAGAGGACTGCGATTTTATCTACAAATATGAACATTTAAGATGGTGATGTAATTCTGATAAGCAAAAGCCTGCAGATAATAATGATATTTCTGAACAAACATTGAGAGACAACCTACTTTGGTAAAACAGGTAAACCTATTTAGACATTTTGCTATTTTGGAAAAACAGCAAAATAGAAGAAATTATAATTAAATTTATCAGCTCTTTTTTGCGGGGGGTAGGAGGCTGGTTAGATGCAGTTGTAATCTATACTAGTTCTAGTAAGGGAATACATTTTTATAACATTTCTTTGTATTAATTTACTTACTTGAAATGTTAAAACGTAAACAATCCATTTATAGATTTTATAAATTCATGTAACCATTTCGAAAATTTTAGAAACCAGTGGTACTGACTTTGAAAGTTGGCGAAAAGAAATATAAGGAAAGATTACTCAATTGAATGAATGTTTCTAAGAGAAACGTCAGTTAAAAACAAAGATAAGATAATCAATCGGCTTCCTAAAGTAATTAAGAGGACTGAGATAGAAAAATGTCTATAAATAAGTCACAGAAAGCCGTGCTAGCTTTCAAATAATGCATCACTAACTGATAATAATGATTATCCTAGGCGTGTTGCAATACTATAAATAATATATTAGGTAGATTCTAATTTGTGACTCTTTCGTGCACTGTAGATAAAACTTACTTTGTCAAACATTTTTTCCAAAGGCAGTGCAGGAAACCCATCTAAAGGAAAGAGATTTAGATATAGAGTTAGTCGAACGTTTCCAATGATCATTAATGAATACTGAAGTATTTTTATAATTATTGAATGATACACGCTTAAATATACTTTAGTTTGCCGTCGATGTATTTGGAGCCTTTAGAGATGGCTTGTCAGCTATCTCAGCTAGAACTTAAGCAGTGTCTTTCTCATATATTATGTTTTTCTGCATTCTTTAGCCATACTTTTCACTTCAATTTTCAAGTTGTTCTCGTCTACGATTAAAATAAAAACAACCATTACCATTGATTAATTGTAACGATTACTAACGCAACAGCAATATTTTTATGTCAACATTTTTTGATGTGATTACCTCAAATGTTTCAAATGAAGTATAGTTTTTTAAGCATTACATGATAATGCACTACAGAAAAGTGAAAAAAAAATGTAAAGATATATTAAGTATAGAGGTGAGCTTTAGAGGTTCACATTTTGTCTTTTGCGGAGGTACGTTTATGAGTGAGATAATAAGAAAAAAGTGTAATTTTCCAAATCTCCAGGCAGAATATAGTTTACGCAGTCAAAGAGAAGAATAAAATTAAATTCCATTATTTCAGAAAATGTCACAAAAAACTTTCAGTATTAATTCGTTAAACTTAGTTTCAAAATATAACATTACTTCTATACCATCGCTTTAAGATTAGTCTTAACCACCTGTTGAAGAATTCCCTGAAGATGCTTGGTGGTGTACTAGTTAGTTGTAACCGTCTCCTCTCTCTCTAACTTGATGGCTTTGACCAGGCATGTACTTCTGAAGAAAATGGCATATATTACGTTTTTCATTGCTTGTTGTCTTGCGCTGATTTGAGGTCATCTCAAAAGACCCAAATTTTACTTCCTTGACGGTCAAAAAGGGCATGCACGCTTTAGCACGTTTATTTATGGTTTTAGAAATAACAGAGTGTTCATCACTCCTAAACAGTTTTAGATTTCCTCAGGGGCGTAGCTAGAAGGGGGAAAGGGGGCATCTGTCCCCGGGGGAAGAATCCAAGGGGCGCCAAACTGATGTTACGACATTTTAGAATTAAATGTTTTCCATCCTTGGCAACCAGTAGGGGGCGCGAAATCTTCAGTTGTCCCTGGGCGCTGATAACCCTAGCTACGATTCTGGATTTCCTTTACCGATTCTGAAATGCTCTGCGTTTTGGTGTTGTTAATTGATGGGGATCAACTAGTACAAATGCTCTAGAGTTATGTACAGCTATAAATACTCGTATTTTATGTATAGCTAGTATAATTTTATATATGCTGAGTTTCTTCTGTATTGTTTGGATTATCAATGATTAGAATTTTTCAACACATTTTCTGGGACAATAGCTGACAAAAGACGTCTTGCACAGTCTTTATTCAGAAGAGTATTTCGCACTCTACCAAATTTCGAAAACCACTTGAATAATGTGGAACAGGAATGGTGTTGGTGTATTTAATTATGGCAAAGCACACTAGGGCTATCTGCCTAAGGGGACTTTCTAAGGGAAACTGGCTCGTATACACGTTACACATGGGGAAAACCACAAAAACACCCATGCAGCCAGCCCGTTCGCAGGATTCGAACCTCGGACCGAACTACCAGGTTTAGCGACTTTACCGCTCGGCCGCTGGTGGGCTGGAACAGGAATGAGTTTCATTTTCATGAGCTAATTTGTCGACGTTAAAGGCATCCCTCCTCATTTAACCCGTCTTTTTAAAGTGATGGAAAATCATAGCGAGAGAATGCTCTCACATAAGCTCCATTTTCCTTTCTTTCTGAATTCATTCTTACAATTATTGCCACAAATTATCGTCTGCGGACCCAAATAAAATTAAAATTACATACCTAAAAAAAAGTGTCTTTTAGCGCATATTATCTGCGCCTTTCTAAAAAATTTCAGAGTTATCTACAGGTAATATTAACGTTTGTTTCAACGTTTCCGTTTAAAGGTATTGCACATATTGTAAATATTAGAATATAAACACAGAATGTCAAATAATATTTAAAAATTTTCTAGTTTGAGATATTGTATTGTAAACTATTTATAAGAGAACAAACAAGAGGAATTTTCATTGATTTTATACTGTAAAAGGAACTGGAATTCCAAAAAAAGCAACAAATGAGCCATAACTGTGATTAAGTCTATGAATTCATTTCAAAAGTTAGTTTTTAATTTGAATGTAGAAAATGTGTTGAAAGATTGCATGAAGATAACTGAAATATTGATAAGAATAATTAAACCTACTGTTAGTCTCTGGTTCTATTATTCTATTTTTGTGGAAGCTCTTTTCAGAGGAATTTTGTCTACCCATTTGCTAAAATGATCCACGATTACATTAAGTAGCGGTGTTTATTCTAATCGCTTTTCAGATGAGATCGACCTCCAGCAATTCATTGAAGAATGTAGCCTTAATGCTGTTTAGGTATCCGGCCGATCGGTAAATAAAGTCATCAACTATTTGGCAGATATGGCAGGACCTCGCATACTCTTTAACAATTTGTTGTAATTTTGGAAAGAATACTGCCTCTCGAACATGTTTAATTATCTTTCTAATATCGACATGACCGGGAATCGGTGCATCACGTAACTCTTGTAAGATGCTAAGTCTCAAACTCGTTGGGATGACGGTTTTTAGTTCATTATTTTCGTTGGTAGCTTTTGAATAAAATAGGAAATTACCGATAATTTCGTAATTGGCTGCTCTGTGTCTAATGACTGTTAAATCTTAAAGCTCAAAGCTAACTGGATCCTGTAGATACCCACAAGTATTTTTAAATTTTGGATCCGTATTTTGGATCGTATTAATAGTAACGATTATGTTATCTAGATAAATGAAGGTGGATTTTCTGAGAATTGGCTGAAGAATTATGTCAATCGTTCATTGAAAAGTAGCGGGGGCGCCACATAAACCGAATGGCATACGTAAAAATTCTTAAACGCCAGATTTTGTGATAAACGCCGATACTGATTTGAAATGATCTTAATACTAGAAGAAGATGATAATAATAATAGATCTTACTAATAGAAGAAATATAACCAAGAGAAAGGAATTAACATTAAAAAAAAATTAAATAAAATTTGAAAGATTTCAGATTTTATATTACGCCCAAAGGGGCCTTCCTTTTTTAACATTTTGCCATTTTGCATGTTAGCTTTATTTACTAAATATCATATACATCAGATATCGCACTTAAATCACATAAAATTCAATTCAACAGCAATATCACGAAATATTTAAATACAACATATGATAAGAATTTTCATTAGGCAGTCTCGCGCGTTGGAGATTATTATTTTTTTTCGTACAGTGTCCATTTCTCGCTTGAAAAATACCGAGTTCGTTAATTAGAAAATTTGTTAAAGTTTTACAAAATATGAAATAGATAATAAACAAATTCGAAATTCGAAATTCGAGAGACCTTCGCGTGTTCGCATGGATGATTTCGTAATTCAAAATTTGATGGTTTTAGGAAACGTCGTTTTTTCACAATGTGAAAAACATACATGCATTCATGCATATTCTTGATTACCGTATTTGACGGCATATAAACGTTTTTTTTTTCCTAAATTTGGTCTCAAAAAAGTTACCTGCGTCTTATACGTGAAGAACACAGGTTAACTTTCAATACTGAATGCTATTTTTAGCCCGGATAAAGGTCTAGACACGCATAACTTTTTCTACATCTGCCATAATTATTTTGCGCATGCGTGAAATATCTGTTACCAAAAAGTACCAATGGTCGAAGCTGATGTCGAAGTTAGAACAGGTTCGACGGTCACATTACGTCTATGGAGCCTTTCCTTCTTTACATAGACTTTCTTTGACTCAGCCGACACACGTTTCGGTATCGCTGCTACTCTGTATAAACGTGACGTTATCGGTGCTACTCTGTATAAACGTGTCGGTATCGGTGCTTAAAACTATTTGTTTAATAAAATACCCTGGAAAATATGACTACAGGAAACAAGAGATTAAGCTATACAATTAAGTATAAACTATATAAACTAGGAGTGTTAAACTACGCCAAAGTGCACTACCGCCGTTTTTCATATTCCAAAAGAAAAACTCATCCGAAAGAAAAACTTCCAACGGGTGTAATTGTTAATGTTCATCCGAAAGGCTAGATGGACGAAGCTGGAATGAAACTGTGGTTACAGAACGTATGGGCGAGGAGACCTGGTGGACTCTTAAGAAAACCCTCTCTTTTGGTTTCGGATCAGTTTAGCGCCCTTAGAATTGAAATCATAAAGAATAAAGCGAGATAATTAAAAGCCAGATAGCTGTCATTCCTTGTGGACTGACTAGCCAACTGCAGCCTTTCGATGTATCGGTGAACAAGCCATAGGAAAAAGTGCGAGAACGATGGAACAAGTGGATAGGAGAGCCACATCACGCCCTCACACCCTCAGGTAGAATGAAGCGGCCCTCTATTTCACAAGTGTGCGAGTGAGTAAAAAGATCTTGGGACGACGTAAAGGCTGAAGTAATTGTTAAGTCCTTTAAGAAGTGCGGAATCAGTAATACTCTTGACGGAACAGAAGACGACGCATTATTCGAAGAAGGTGATACTAGCGATGACGGAAACAGTAGTGATGACAATATTCTCGTTTTTCTGATGATGATGATAGTGAAAAGGATTTTTTATGGTTTTGAAAGTGGTTAAAGTCTAATTTCATGATAGGCAACGTTTTCCTTCAATCTGTGTTTTTTGTTGTTTCTGCTTTATTTTGTATTATGTTTGATTGCTTGCTGTTCATTCATTTACTCATTATTGAAATTTACATATCACGTTCAAAATAGCTTGCCGTTTGTTAATTTTTCTTAATAAAAATATGTTTGGTAATTGCATTCAATGATTGTTTATTTGGCTTTTACGAAGCGTGAGAACTAAAAAGAAACCACATTTTAAGTTATTGCGGATTATTGAAACTTTTTTTTCTTGTGTGTGGCCTTCTAAATAAGGGTGCGTCTTATATGCCGTCAAATACGGTATTTAATTTCTTAAAATATAATACTGGGTCATAATATTTGGTGGCAAAATTTTGAAAAATGATTCAGATATTTAGAGTGATTCACGGCAAAATGGCGTTTCGAGACTTATAGCCCTTCTGGGCTAATAGTATGTCTGGAGAAAAATCTTTTATAAAATGGCTTAAATTTCTAAATTTAGAAGAGTCACTTCACAATCTGGCTAATTAGTCTTAACCATGTTATTGAACTAAATTATTCTTATATTGGTTAGGATATCAAGCAGTTTCCGGTCTATATTTCTTCTCGGATAATACAGAGATAAATTAATGATTACGACATTGATCAAAATATAACATTTTAATTTAATTTTTAGAATATATTTCAGAAATTCCTATCTAGCTTATCGTATTTTAATAGATACTCCTATTTTTATAATTTCAAACAGAAATATTTCAGTAAACAGGATTTAATTTAATTTGATTTTTCTGTATATTTATTTGTTTATTTAACTTTGTTATTTGTGTATTATTATTTTTCTATTTGTTTATTAATTATTTTAGGTATTTGTTCATTTAACATGCTGTTTTACATAATTTGTTATTTTTCTTGTTTTTTAGTTTGTTACTTGTTTGTTATTGTTTATTTAATTTGTAATTCTTTATTTGCTTTGTACCATTTCAAATATTGCGCTTTATTATAAATACTGTTAAGAAAAGTTTCATTAAAGCATACTCTGTAGCATTTCGTTGTAGAGATAAACCTTTTAGAGGAAGAAATTTAAAATTTCAAGTTAAGGGCAGACTCTCAAAGTTGCTTAGAGTCATAAGTGCCAAAAGATAGTGCATTATGTGATTTATTAGGACGCTCGAATAATTCATAAGCAGTTTACATAAAATTTTAACACTTGAACCATTAAATAAAATTTGTTTATTAATTTATGAATAAATATTAAATTAAAAATAATAAATGAAAGTAAGAAAGTTTCAACATTAATTTGAAACTGAAGCATATATTCCTTTAACAATAAAATATTGTAGGGAATTTTTCTTACATTTTCGCGGAACGGACAATTGGAAATCAAATGTTGACTTAATCGAGACTGAAACCACGCACCTTTCAAACCGCCATTTAGAAGTGTTAATTACTTACACATGAGAGTACGTACTGAAAAATGCAGTTATTTCATACGATAAAATTAAGATTTTTCTTTGTACATTGCAGTAGGAGAATTTTTGTTCGAAACATTACGTATTATGTCATTTTCCCTACATGCTTACAAAAAGGAAGGAAAGGAAGAAATTAAATCTATTTTATCTAAAATTCGTGAATGATTCCCTTTGAAATTCGGTCCACTTCATAATACGAAATTTCGAGTCGGCCGTCGACAATCACATATAAAGGATTGTTCAAGATGTGTGCAATTGTTAAAATTTGAGAGACTGGAAAAAAAAGTGTCCTTAAGCATTAAAATAAATAGTTTTTTAAATTGTAATTTTTTTTTACAATATTATTTAACTATTGATACGAAATAAAAAATTAACTACTCTTTAAATATTAACGTAGTAACCAGTTCAACAGCTGTATACCTCCTGCAGGTCTAAAGAAAATGCTTGGGCCATCAGGTTTCAAATTTCGTACCACTTTGCATTATTACTATGTTCATTTACACTTGATCGGCACACACGGGCTATTTCTCGATGGAAATTTGATCTCGAACTCAAGAATTCCAGTGATTTGTAATACAGTCAGAAATATTTGAAAAGTTGAATTTTTAAAAATGTGCGAAATAACGTACTGTGCAAAAGTACAATGTTCGAAAATCGAGGGTCGCTTGCATTAACGTAACGGGGTACAGAAGAGGGTCATCCTGCTTCATATAAGATTAGTTTTATGTGAATGCAACTAGAAATTTTTATCTAAAGTGCATCTAAATAGAAATTTCAAAATTATTTTGCCGTTTGCTACGATAAAAGGCTCATTAACTTGGAATATTCTACAGCTTCTTTAATATTTCAAGGAAAAAGTCTCTAGTAGATATTTATAAGTTTTGGAATATTCTTTAGGTACTCAAATAACAGCCATTCTTTCTCTCAGATGGGAATTTTGTAGAATGTGCTTTACATTCGACAACATAAAAATTATCAAGTTTTTAGTTAAGTATATGAAACTTTCTTTTCGCTAAGTTTATCGTTTATACCAGAGTTTTTCATTATAGACGCTACCTCCTCATAATGGTCAATGAGGAGATTTAGAAGGTCATTATTGATTGGAGGACTTATAAAGAAAGAGTTTAGAAATGTTGATCGGCTAAATATTTTTTAAACAACCATTTGAACAAAAATCATATTAAAAAACGTTAGATCACCTTTCATTCATAGTAGTCGAAGACTACTAATTAAGAAGTTTTTAAGAAATTTAGAAGTCGAAGACATTAATTCAGATTTTTAATTCATTTAAACAATCATTAAAGCAGGATTTCAACTTCATATTTACAATGATATATAATACGTTTAGTGCGTTTTCCACCATATTTAATATTATTTATTTACAAATGCCTGACTTTTTGCACTTAAGTCATTAGCTGTCTTGCTTCCCAAAACTCCTGGGTGTTAGATTTAAAACTCTGTTAAGTGCAGAACACATGTTTAAATAGACTAGAAGAGAAAGTTTAAATGTTATTTGTTCATGGGATGCTCAGGAACATAAAAAGATTTCTATAGAAACGTCCCGAGTAAAAAAAAAAAAAAAAATATCTTTGGAGCAAACATGCGAAGTCAAAGTTATTTTAACATATTTTTATTAATTTTGTATATATATATACAAAATTAATAAAAATATGTAAATATTATAATTAATAAATTAATTAATAAAAATATGTAAATATGTAACCGATCTATATATATATATATATATATATATGGGTAATTTTAGTGAAATTATACGTAGAATTGTAGTATCTTTTGTATAATATAACGTGAAATGCTTCAAAAAGCGAAGCTCCTGCATGGAAAAAAAGATTACAAGAGAAAAGTCTCTTTAAGTAAATGGCTATCTCGCTAAATTGGCGAGATAGCACCAACCTGGCGCTGGATTTGGCATCTAATTATTGTCGCTAAGAAATCGTAAAAAAAGTCCTCAAACTTCGCGACCGTTTGACAATATTTTGCTCCAGTTCTTCTATAACTGTAATTGGTACTGTGAATGAATAACTGTAATTGATCCATATATATAACTATAAACGTATCCGGCCCTTTTGTAACTTTAACCGTATATACTTTCCAGTAAGTTGGTAAAATAAAAAGATACTGGAGATATATCTCCGTTCGAGGGAAACCTATTTAAGTCCAAAGAGTCTGTGATACTTAAAAGAGCTGTAAAAGTACATTTATAAAAATCTCCAGAACTGTGAAGCGTTTCCTTTGGGGAAATGCATTTTGTCATGCTATCATCGGTTCTGTGTGCATTCAACCCATTACGAAGCCTTAAGTAGGCAATGATATATCACTGCACATTCAGTGACAGAATTCTCTACAATATTTTGATAATTTATTAAAATAAATATTTTAAGAAGCTCTTAACTTTCATTACTATGCTATTTCAGTTAGCGCGTTTTTAGTCAGCTGTCACACATCACAGTCACAGCACATCTAATATGTTATTGTTATACTAAAGTTGAATAAATTGGAAAATGATATTAAAGAGGAAAAAAAAAACTCTCAAAAAAAGATTGTGACATAAACAATTAGTGGGAAACTGTAATTTAAACAAAAAATGGGACAGAAATTTTTGTGTAACTCTAATGTTAAAAGGTTAGCATAAGAAATTTTCTTTTCTCAGTTTAAACAAACTTTTGTGAATTTACATATATTAACTCATTGTATTTCACCAATATATCTCTACCCTAAAATGCCGTTTATCAGTGCTAAAATGGTCTGTAACATCTTTTCGTTTAGGTGAAATTTCAGGGGATAATCGGCGGGAATTGTCTTTCGGTGTAAAAAAAAGAAAAGAAAATATAGTCATATTACTCGTATTTCAGTAAAATTATGTATTGAATTTCAATTTACATTGCTATGTTATTTAAAATATCCCAGTTGGTTTCCTATTGATGTTTTACCTATCAACACTTAGATCATATATATGACCTTACGAGTCATGATTACAAGAGTGCACACGAGTTATACCTGAATAAATATTTTACAGCTGATTGTTCTTGCATAGAACTTATTGAGATAAGTTTCTTATCATAAAATATGCCTGTAAAGAACAAAACTATGAAATTAGTATTAAAGAAAATTGAAGTGACTGGTTTTTTGACTCAGTGTAAGCTTTCTATATTATCTCTTGAACCGATTTTTGGTTGATGAAGTAAAATGCACTTTTGTTTATTTTTCTGCACGAAAAATAATTGATGAAAGCTTTAATTGTATTTCAGTGACGCGCATACTTAAAAGAGCTGTACAAATACTGTATAACACTGGCAATTTCTTATTTTAAATACCTATCTCTAATTTATATAGATAAAAGAATCATTTTATATATTTTTTTCCTTAAATTCAAACAAAATTTTGGTAAAAGAATCTTAAACAAAGGAAATACATGCTTCCCTTTGAAACTTTGTCTTTTAACAAGTTCATTCTTATTCGTTTTTGTTCTCGCTTAACCAAGTGAGAAATTCGCACTTCAAAGTCAGTAAAGGGGAAACAAAACAACTTCAAAGAATTCTGGAACAAAGGAAAAAATGCTCATTCTACATAAAAGACCGAAAGTATAGTTTTCAAAAACTTGTCTAGTGTATGTTCTGTTATTGTTCGGTAGATGATTGAAAGTTCTTCATACTGTGTGCGGCGGAAGTTCACGCTGAAAGCTTGAGGAAAGAACCATTTTTTTTAACTTTTAGATTTGCTTTTGTTTAGTTATTGTTCTTGCAGCTTATTTTCATCCAGTACTTTTTCTCTGCCTGTATCCTATCGCCTCGTTTCATTTTAGTAAGAAGTGCTATACATCTTCTGGCTGTATTTCTTTATGCATTTTGTAGGAGGTTTCCTCAAAAATGAGATTTGGTAGTTGTCTACGCAATGTACACAAGGTAACTCTAAAGGGAGAATGAAATAGGCTAACGTGAAAGGCTTTTAAAAAGAATTAGTCCGTTGGGATTTTAGAAGAACGTCTGAATATAAACGACATGTGTACTGTAAATTTAGAAAATCTGTTTTATTTCCCTTACTAAAGCTGTTATGTTTACCGATTAGCTAACAAAACGTTAACTACAATAACTTTAAAAACAGTTAATCTAAAATATATTTATCTATTTTACGCCTCCTTAATTAAAAAAGAAAAATAACGTAATTGGAATATTTCACATTGTCGAAGAGAAGTCATGTCCAAGAGAAATTGATCATAACAATTTTAGAAATTTAAAAAATGAAAAGTGCAAGAAGCGTATATATATATTCGCTTTTCTTGCAAGAAAAAATTATATTTATAACAGTTAGATCATAAAATTAAGTATTTATTGTTAAATGAAATCAAAATTACACTCAAAAAGTATTGCATTTAAAAGTTCTTTGGACGATTCTGCATTTCTATTTTATACGTGAAAAAGTATAAACAGAGAAATACCGCAAACTGACCATTTTTAAACAATACAAACAAAATTAAAAATGGAAATAAAGAATGAGGTTTTTAATCTGTATGTCACTAAAATATTTCACCACAGACGTTCGATTTTATTCTAAATGCAAAAAATAACATTAATAAGATGTAGAGCTAAAATTCTACAGCCAGTCAACAGTAAGTTGTTAGAAACCTAATTTTCGTATAATACTCGTCGTACAGAATAATATTTCTTGGAAAGTATTGTTAAGAAACCCTGAGAAAATAATATTTTAAACGATTGCTGTTTTTATAACATAAATGATTTATGATTTAAATGATGGCTTAAATTATTTACGATTTAAATAACTTTGAAAATTACTCAAAACTGAGCAACGCATTTTTATAATTTTGAAGATAATTCGCTACTTTATTCATATTTGAATTACTTAAGTTTTTTTCTATTAGCAGTAACATCTGCACATTGCGAATAGGATTTTATTGCAAAGTAAAACAACAAAAATCTTGAAGAGGTTCTCCTTCAAAGGGTTGAAGAATGATTTTAGAAATATTCGCTAATAACTCCAGGATATTACTTCATTATATCTACACTGTGCGACTCTAAAACTTTCACTGTGCGACTCTAAAACTTATTATTTTCCTCAGAAATAACTATGTATCTTTAATTAAGGTGTAATTCAAACATGAATAAAGTAGCGAATTTCAGGGGAAATATTCTGGTCAATTCTCAGCATCGAAATTAAACAATTCAATATCTTTCTGTTGTATTAATAAACAGTGTGTGTTTTTATAACGGTTCTAATTTATTTGCAGTCTAAAATTTCTTCATGACATTTAAATTCAAAAGTTTATGAAGAAAGTTTATGCAGAAAGTAGCTTTTGCTAGTTTTCCAGTAAAATTAAGTTAGCAGAGAAGAGAACCTGAAAACTGTGAGAAAATGCATCACTTAATACTTTTAATGCATTCTTTCTGATAAGATTGATTTATAACCGAAAGCACCGAAAATGCAGACTAGAAGAAAACTATGAAGAAAATATATGATTTTTAAATTGTTAATCTTATTAGTTATTAAACAATATTTTTATGCTTCTATATCATAAGTAAAATACAGTTTCTTTGCCAATGTTTTGCATTTAATAAAAGGATTAGAATTAAGGCTTTCTTTTCCTTATCCATTGAGTTCTAACTCTATTTATTTTCATATGCTTTCTGATTAGCTAAAATATTATTTAAAAACTAAGATTAATGACTAAAATAAAATTGATGTAAATAACTTATATCTCCCATTTTCTGGAACTGCTCTTTTTTCTACAAATAGACTTTTTTTCAGATTACAGTGTAATGTATGCTATTTTAAAATCGAGGTAATTTTCTCAGAAAGTTATAAAATATTAATGCCGAAGTTCTTGTGAGATCTTTTCACTTTGCGTCTAACGTTTTTAGATTAGTTAGCTTCAAATTCTTGGTAAAGCGGCATTATCTGAAGAAAGAATTATTAGATTCTTCACGAAGAGACTTGAAAAGCTGCCTTCATTTAAGTATTATCTGTACATTGAAATACACTTGAATTACATAAAAACTATCAAATAATATGTCTAAATATGAATATCATGAGGTGAATTAAACATGTAATTTAATGTATTTAATGTTAACTTCAATTTTAAAAAAATATTCATTTGTTCTCTTGCTATTTTTTAAAATAATTTCGGAAGAAAGTAATTGGAAAATGCGATAATAGTGTTTTGACGATAATATTTTACATTTCTTTGAAATCCTTTAAAATTACTTTTCTTCGAAAGAGTAAAGCTTAAATATTAACAACGAAGTTTATAAAAAACATAACCAAAGATTCTGAATAAGGTTTCGGTATGTTACTTTTATAAAAAATATTTAACAGTTTGGATACATTTCAATAAAGTCATTAATTTTATCATTTGATAAAATAGAACAAATGCTATCGTCAGTC